GGAAAGGAGGACCCGAGAGCGCCCCCGACGGAAGGCGGGGTTGAAACCCGCATCGTGGGGCGCGGGGGTATCGATTAAAGAATTCAGTCCTCTCGCAAGGTGTCCTGGGTCAAACTTGTCGAATAGGTGTAATGGGTAAATAGTACCTAACAGACCAGCGTCGGTGATGTTGGATGGGATCAACCCTAGGAAAGAGCGTGGGCGGAGTGGTCCGGTGTTTGTCGAGGAGTGCAGTTCACTAGACTACTGCGACGGCAAGCGATAGCGACGAAGAAGAGGGCGCAGCAAGGTCATAGGAATCATCGGTCGTCTCGTCGAGGTCGAGATGGGACGGCCAAGCCAAGCCGAAGCCGAAGCCCGTAGCAAAGATTTGGGGGAAAGGAGCGTGTGGGCGAACCGAAAGGACTGAACGGAAAGACAACAAGACGATCCAAGTTTGTCAAGATTGGGCGGAACAGAAAGTGGAAGACGAGAAGCCGGTCATGGAAAGGAAGCCGTTCGCGGCTAGCGGTAACGTAAACGGGACGAAGAAGAAGAGGAACACGAGATGGGACGACGATAGAGACACACAGGCCATGAAAGCACGAAGAGCGAATGAGAAGAGTCACGAGTGAGGCGGCAACTGGGGCGCTCGAGGCAAGGGGGGGGGACGAAGGGCTCGCGAAGATGTGGTTTTGGCCCTTGTTTCGCAGGGATAGAGTGAGGGCCAGACTGGTACGATATGCCATCACTGGGGACCCAAGGTGGTTCGAGCCCTCGATCTCCGTAAGGTGGGGTTGAACATCGGACGAAGAAGACGGGTTGGGTATGGTGAGCATGCGGCCAGGAGATCGTGAAGACTCGCGGACGCAAGGTCCAGGCGTCACGGCCAGGGGGTCTGGTTGAGACGCGCCCCTGACGGCTCCTGTCAGAGGTGCATGTGGCGCGACATGGTGTCGAAACGGGGGGTTCCGAGCACTTGTATGCTGCCAAGACGGACACGGAAATACGCAAAAGGATCCTGAAAGCCAAGGTCTTGTCAAATGAGCGAGCCGAGCATTGGGCAGATTGCTCAACCAGGTATATCGTGGCTTGCCTGGCCGTGAAGGTGAAGAGGTATAATGCTGCAGGAGGTTTCGCTCATGCACACAAAGTGGCCGCTCCCGCAAAGGATGATTAGGCATTTCCCAAAAGCATGGGGCGCCCATGCCGGCCCTGTCATGCTGACCATGTATGCTGACAAGCAACTTTGCTGAGGGATGCAAACCCCGGGCCCGCCGTGTGACGACCGGCAGATGCATCGGGTATTTCTCTTGGGTGGTGGTGGTGGTGGTGGTGGACGGCGGCTGCCGTGACGACGGCCTACCCTCTTGCGTCGCGTCACTGTCTCCATCGCGAGTTGTCAGTCGGGGCGTATGACGCGTGGTCACCTTGGGAGGCCACGATCCAAACATGACGCCGCGAATGGATGGGGCTTGCGAAACGAAGAAACAAAGGGGATGGCCGGGGCTCATCAACAGAACCAATCGACTGGGAGAGACGGCAGCGGCTGCTGATAAAGCGGCGTTCAAGAAACCCCCCCGAGAGGCCGAATGGCACTGCATAGCGTTGCTCATGCTCGCATCGTGGGCTGTTTTCTTATTGAGACGAGACTGATTGAAAACATTCTGCGACACGGCATCGCATTGACTGGATTGGATGACTTGAAGGTCGATGTTTCCTGTCGTGCTGTGTCTGCGTCAGGTCGGCGAAGCGAGCTTGGACGGTTCAGCTGCGGTGACGCGGCACATTTTTCGGATGCTCAACTCATGGCAACAGGCTATGTTGAAGACGGAGATGGAGTGAGCTGGTCGACGAGATTCCTGATGCCACGCAGCTATGGTGTTGAAGGACAACTAGACGGTTCAGGGACATGAAGGAACCATCAGGAGAATGGTGCACGTCAAGGAAAGCAAGCGCAAGGCAGGTCTAGCCTCCTCTTCTGTCTGGCCTGGTGCCGCCTGCTCAACGTGAAACGTGTACCTGCCGGTGGCTGCCCCCCTGGTCGGTCCCTAGCCTCTTGCTTTTTTTCTAGACATGCAGTGAAAGCGATTCACCCTCTCGGAGCAGCTGCTACTTGGATAGTAGCTGCCTATTGATCAATGTGCGCAGAGCCCTGAATGGAAGCGGCTCAACAGTCAGTCATTCAAGTACCTACGAGACAAAATGTCCTAGAACTGGCCGGGATTTCAACCAACAGCTGGCTTGTCGTTTGCTGACACCAGACACAGTCGTGACAGAAGGGAAGTCGTAGAACACATGGTCAGAGGCGATGCATCCTTAGGCTCAAGCCATCAAACGTCGATGCGCCGGAGGCAAGACGCTCAAGGCGGGGTGTTCATGGCCCTACTACTTGTACACAAGCGTCGGAGCTTGACGATCAGGGCGGAACAGTGGTGTATCCCCTGTTGTGCCTGCGCCGTTCCCCTGATCCGAAGGGCCTGCCTCTGCGCCGGCTGCTGTGGCTCATGACGACTGGTGTGTGGCGCGAGTTGCAGTGGCTCATCCGGCCCTCGGTGCGCCAAGAAGGCCGACTCGGCCGGCAATCGAAGGCACCTCTGAATATCGATGACGACATTGAAGATTCTCGATGCCCAGAGCGCTCCCACCACCACGTATCGGCCGCTTCGCAGCCCTATCACCATAAGGGTCGGGACCGTCGGGAGCTAGGCCAGAGCGTAACGGTTGACGAGTGCGAATTTTGTCACCGGAGACGAATCCCTCAAAACACACGTCCGCTCCCTTGTCTGACTGCTCACCCAACAGTGATCGCCCTCCCTCGGTTTCATCCCAAGATAGCGACCGACAACCTGTCCATTTCGGAAGTCTGCACATCATTGATAGTGCTCGTGTTATCATCCCAAGTCGGCGTTGAGGCGTGCAAAGGCGACACAACAGCTCCCGCCGAGGACGCATCGGAGCACAAAACAACCCCCAGAACCGCCCATCATGACCGTCGTTCATGTGCTCGACGACTACTACCTGGCCATCACGGCCCTCATCACCGTCGCCTACCAGCTGTTCTTCTTCGCCATCGCCTTCACCTTCAAGTTCGACAAGCTCACCGACTTTGCCGGCGGCACCAACTTTGTCGTCCTCGCCATCACCACCCTGGCCATGAGCGGCCACACCCACGCGCGCCAGATTGTCGCCTCGGTCTTCATCATGCTCTGGGGGGCCCGCCTCTCGGCCTTCCTCCTGTTCCGCATCCTCAAGACCGGCAAGGACGACCGCTTCGACGACAAGCGCGACAAGTTCTTCCCCTTTCTCGGCTTCTGGGTCTTCCAGATGATCTGGGTCTGGACCTGCTCCCTGCCCGTGACGATTCTCAACGCGCCCAGCGTCACGCGGTACCCGCAGCACGCCTTTGGCACGGGCCGCGACATTGCGGGCGTCATCCTGTTCGCCATCGGCTTCGTCATGGAGAGCGTCAGCGACATGCAAAAGTTCCGCTTCCGCAGCGCGCATCCGAACCGCGAGGCCATCTGCGACAAGGGCTTCTTCTACTTCACGCGGCACCCCAACTACTTTGGCGAGATCCTCATTCAGTTCTGTACGTCAACCGCCCCATCTGGGCAGAGTCCCCCGCATCTCCAACGAGAAAGTGAACTAACACGACCAGCCATCTTCATGATCGCCGTCTCCGCAGCCGCCGACGGCTACGTGCGCGGCCAGGCCTTCCGCGCCCTCTACGCCAGCATCCTCGGCCCCATCCTCCTGACGGCCCTGCTCATGTTCCTCTCGGGCCTGCCGCTGTCGGAGCGCCCCGGCGCCAAGAAGCGCTACGAGAAGGGCCAGAACTGGGAGGGCTACAGCCGCTACCTGCGGCGCACCAGCATCCTCATCCCCTTCCCGCCGCAGCTGTACGAGCCGCTGCCGACGTTCATCAAGCGCACCGTCTTCCTCGAGTTTCCCATGTATGTGTTCGACCCGGCGAAGCATTCCGACGTCGGGCTCGGCGGCGACCGCGAGGAGGGACAGGGCGACCGGGCGAGTCGCGAGGGACGAGAGCCGTCGGAGGACCAGCTTGTCGAGGGGCGGTCCTGATGTTGAAGCTGAGCTGCTCAGGACTGCGTCGGACATCTAGATCGCCCATCTTCTCGAAGCGTCTTCTCGAAGCGAGTGGGATGCTTGGACGAATGCTGAATTTTCGTGTTACATATGGTGTTGCCTAATCTCAATGATACCCTCTTGACATCTTTTTCCCCACGATGCATCTCGATTATGGCACGGTCTCTCGTCGGAAGCGGTTGCATTGACAACGACTAGAATTCTCGAAGAGGGCTGCTCATGGCAGCCTACCCTGGATGATGCTACTTGTCCATCTCAGCAAATCGCCCCCCCAACTCCAACCGCTTCCAGACTACACGAACCGCAATCCATTCCTCGACTCGCCAACACCAAGCCGTTTAGCACACGACCTCACCAGTGGACTCATGAAAACCCGCGCAACACACCCAAAGCAGTCGAAAAGGGCAACTCACAAAAAATGATTGGAGGCTCACCCGCTCAGTTCGCACGCCCCCGACACAGGCGCAGGCGGCGCCTCTCCCTCCCCTACCACCACCACGGAGGCGCCACGGAATGACTCTTGCCCCTCGTACTCGCCGGACCCGCGCAGGTCGGTCGGCTGGTCGAGCTCGTCCTGCAGCTCGCCATAGTCGGTCGTCAGCGACGTCTCCTCCGAGTGCGACTCGGAGCCCTCGGGGATGGGCACCATGGCCGACTTTGTCCAGATGTGGATGGCCTTTGTCCAGTCGAGGCCCTCGAGGCAGCCCCCCTTGACGGAGACGACATTTTTGCTCTGCTTGCGCGTCAGTGGGGATGCCAAGAATGCTGTCGAAGAACGTGAAGGCCTGAAGCGGCGTGCTGGGTGCCCCTGAGCTGGGAGGAGGGAAGGAGCTGCACCCAAGGAGCTGCACCGCGAACAGGGGAGACGTACAGGCGTGGTGTGGAGCAGGCGGGTGCCGCAGGTTCGGCAGAAGTAGCTGTGGTGCGTGAGCATGCTTGGAGCCCCTGATGCGTGGATGATATCGTCATGTGTGTAAGCAAACGGAGAAACCTTACCAGTACATGGTGTGACCGGATGCCGTTGGCCGTCTGTCGTCGTTAGCTGCTGTGACTCGTACATGCTCTTCCACACGTCACGCTGGAGACCCCCCTGCTTTCAGACTGAGTACGAGCCTCAGGCCAGGCACACTCACGCGTAGACATTCAACAGCTCAGTCTCGGGCAGCGTGAAGCGCGGAAAGATGGCGCTCGTTCCAAAGGGCGGAGCTCGTCTGCCGGCGACAGGACTCGCAGTGGCAGATGTACAGCCCCAAGGGCTTGGGCAGGGGCGTCTTGAAGCTGACGCTGCCGCACTGGCAACGGGCGTTCATGGTGTCTTGGGCGTCGAATTGCGCGTGAAGGGGGTTGGTTGGTGGTTTACTTCGAGGTTGGGTTCAAGGAAACGAGAGAAGGCTTGGTGGTGGGGGGGGGGGGGTGCCGCGTGGAACGTCTTGGGGGTGAGATTTTGTGATGTCACTCTGGCAATTGCGTACAACGTGCAGACGGGGAAGCCAAGAGAATTTGAAGGGGGAAAAGAGGTTGGCCAGACTATGACTCCCGTTGTGGAAAGGGAAAAATCCAGAGATTCACAGATTGGCGCGGTCAGCAACGTGACTGTCTCGAGAGATAGAAGATATGATTAGTCAGGTTGGATCTATTCTCAGGAGATGCTCGAGCGACAAGGTGGAGGAGAGCAGAGTGCAAGCTGAGGGCAGCTCCTGCAGGCTGAGAGAGGGGACTTTGGTAGCGCTCGTCGCCTGAGAACCCCGCCTGGCATTGTTGTGTGTGACGCATCCGCTCGAGACGGGTTCTGGTCCACGTCCACTGGTCGAATGGCGCGTGGGGGCCTTCCTCAGGTACCTTCCTCACCTTGGGTAGGTACCCTACGATACCGAGGTAGGTAAGGTAGGTAGGCAGGAAAGGTAGGCAGGAAAGGTAGGCAGGAAAGGTAGGCAGACAGGACCGGCTGGTAGGTAGGCAGGTACCTCCGAGGGCACGATGATTCACGCCTCGCCGTGTGGAATTTGCAGTGCTCGCGTGCACGTTCATCTGGGTGGCCAGGCAAGGCAAGGTACCTGCATCTCGCCTCAAACAGCACATGAGTGACCAGGCCTAGAACGACCATCGCTAGGGCGAGGGGCCGGTGCGTAAAGGCCCCCTCCCCTCCCCTCCCCCCCGAATCGAGAACGGGCCCGTGAGTCACCGCCGAGCGGGGCCGCCAAACGGACCGGCGCCCGGCAGTCGAGAACAGTGGCATCCAGCGTGTGTGAACTGACAAGAGGCAGGGGGGCGGGCCGCCGTGCTTCTTTTGACGAGAAGAACGAGGAAACGAACCCCCCCTTGCCATGCCAAGGCTGTCATGGCATTTGACGTAAGCCAGCGAGCGGGGGAGCCGGACTGAACCGGGTCACCGGGTGAACAGGCCCAGTAGTGGGCGCCCGCGCGACTTGGCCGGACTAGGCAGCTCGTCCACCTCATCCCCCGGCATATGACGATCTCTCCTCATTTTTTTTTGCCTCAATTGTCTACTCCCCCCGCTGTGCCAGCATGACAGTCCACAGTTCACACACTCTTTTCAGAAGGAACCCACATCACCGTCAGACACCTCGTTGCACCACCCGTCTCCGCCATTCGTGACCTAGCTGCCGTAGGTGAAGCATCTCGACCGAGACTTTGAACCCAACCCGAAAAAAAAAATGGCCTCCCTAACAGCATCCCTCCTCGCCTCCTCCCCGGACGCCTTCACCGCAGCCACGACGGGCCCGTTCCTCAGCTCCGCCGCCGCCGGCACGACGCCCCGCGAGACCCTCGGCCTCTGGCTCGCCAACGACCGCCTCTACATCCACGCCTACATCCGCGCGACGGGCAAGCTGCTCGCCTTCCTGCCGCTCCCCGCCCTACCGGGCCCCACCCCGGGCACCGTCTCCTCGGCCCCGCCCACGGACCCGGAGACCAAGCTCCTCGACTGGCTCGTCGCCGCCCTCGCCAACGTGCGCCGCGAGGAGGCCTTCTTCCTGGCGACGGCCGAACGCTTCGCCCTCCCCCTCGACCTGCCCGTCGATCCCACCACCGGCACCGTCCCCGCCGCCGCCAAGCTGCCGGGCCTGCGCCGCTGGGAGGCCCTCTTCGACGCCGTCGCCCCCGGCCCCACCGGCGCCCCGCTGCCCTGGCTCGAGGCCGCCGTCGTCTTCTGGGGCACGGAGGTCTGCTACCTCGACGCCTGGACCAGGGTCCGCGACGCCGTGGCCGCGAGGGGTCCCGTTGGCCCTGACGCCGATGCCGACGGCGGGGCGCTGCGCCGCGAGTTCATCCCCAACTGGACCAACGACGAGTTCCGCCGCTTCGTGCACCAGCTCGGCTCCATCATTGACGAGGCCGTCGCTGAGCAGGTGCGCTACCATGGTGCTGCTGTGCGGGACCAACTCTTGGAGCGCGCCCTGGGCCAGTGGCGGGAGGTTTTGCTGGCTGAGGAGTCGTTCTGGCCTGCCATGTGACGCTTATACCGAACAAGCCATATTTCGAGTTGGCCGAGATGATGTGAGATGACGAGGGCGTTTAAAAGTGCAGCGTATTGAGTCAAAAGTACTTTCGTGTTAAACAATCTTGTCTGTTCCCATTAATGCCTTGTACCCTTTTGTTCTAGCCCACGTTCGCCTCTAGAGTGGCCCAGCCTTACTTCTCGGAGCACCACCCCTCGATCCGTCGGGCTGCCTCCATGATAGGAAGATCAACAGCCCGCCAGAATACATCTGCCGCCCAGGCCACAATCGGACCCATCACTACCAAGCCTAGTATCCACGCCAGTATCTGCTGTGATGGCGACTCCGTCCCAATCAGCCCTTTGATGCCTGTTGCTGCAACCCCCGGGACGAAATCGTCCCTCTCGGTCGTCCCCGCAGCCTGAGCACCGACGTGTCCCATGACCCCGCGCTGCATCATGTTGAGGATTGGCCCGTGAACAATGTATAGCGCGTAGCTCATGCGGCCCAGATGTTGGACCAACGCCCCCTCCAACTGTCTTTGCAGTACCCTGGCCTGCGAAATGGTCCAGATCAGACCCAAGGCTGACAGACAGAACCAGAATTTCTGCGGACGTCGCTCGTCAACTTCCACAGGAGCAAAGGGCTCGGGCGTTCTGTCGACAAAGAACATGATACCTGGTGTGCGAGTAGCATTTTCGTTGGGCCACCCAGCGATGAACCACCAAAACATGACGAGCGCGACATGGACTGTCGCCATGACGTAGGAGGAGATCCTAGGTCTTTGTCTTGGGACAAAATCGGTTGCTTTCGACAGGTTGGTTCCTCGTGCTGCTTGCCAGAATTGCATCTCGGTGATCAGACATCCGCCGAGAAACTCGAAAGCGGCCCATCTTCCACATGCCAGACAGTAGACCATGATGAACAGCAAGCCAGAAAGTCGGATCATTCGACGCATGGGTGAGAGAACCAGGACTACCATGAACAGCATCATGGAATGGATGAATTCAATGGGGACTGTCCAGAGGTGGATGTCATAGGCCGGCGCCAGGTCAAAATCCCACGACCACGGCCAGGTGATGCCGTGAAGAAGAGCGGCTCCCCAGTCTTCAAACTGTTCGGAGAGGGTCGGGAGTGGGTGATAGAGGTAGCCAGCGTAGCTCAAGACGAGCACCAGAAAAGTCGACACGATACAGGGGCCAAAGAGGCGGATCGGACGTCGAAAGGCTGATGATGCTAGGATCGACTGGCATCTCTCAATGTCGTGGGCGTAAATGGCTTGAATTGGCTTTTGTGATAGGACGATGCCCGAGATGATGAAGAAGATATGGACCATGGGTCGGCCAGAGTAGATGACGCGGATGAACGGGAATTGTAATATAGAGGACGTCTTCTCATTAAGTCCCCATGATGGGATCAAGTACTCGTGGTTGTCTTCTGTGTAGTGACAAATGGCGACAATTAGGGAGGCCAGACCTCGAAGGCCATCGAGATAGGAGGTTGCATGGAGGCGATGAGAAGGGTGGTCGTTATGGGCCCGCTCGAACAGGAGAAAGCTGGGCAGGAAAACCAGGAGGCGGCCTATGAGCCGTCTCGCTTTGAGCAGCATTGGGGTGTGCAGCTGTTGGGTCCGTTGATGAAGTAGCCGGCGATAGTTGTCTTCGGGCTGCTTTTCACGCGCTCGTCAGCACTGGTGTATTGAAGGGGAATAGCGAACCGGGAGCACAACCCTCAAACAAGGCTCGAAGTTAGAGGTCGACTAAATATCATGATACTGAATCCATCCATCGAGGAGGTACCTGAGTATATTTGCCAAACCGGGGCAGTGACGACTGGATCTGGATCTGCCACCAGTCGCACCTGACGGTGCTGTGCCCCCACCCTGTACTCCTTCTATGCGCTGACTTCATTTCATCTCATGCAAGGAGCCTACGACTGCCGTGGTACTGTCCAGCCCGACAATCTTCGTGCAACAAACGCAGCCGGCGGCGGTTAACAGCATCAGCACGTACATGACATGGTCCTATCATTTGGTATCCGGTAAAAAGAATGCCTAGCCTGGTGATGAGGTTCTGTCCACTCTTTCACTGATCCGATAATAGATGGCGGAAGTCTCATGACGTTCAGAGGTGATGGATGCTCAACAGAGAGTGCTGTGGCCATTATTGGCAACATGCGCACTCATCAGCGGACGTTTCCTCTATGAGTTTCAACGGATCGAAGAATCAGCGAATCGAAGACAATAGGAAACCATAGCCATGTGAATTCAGACGCAACATAGAGATCGAGGGCCTAGGGTGATATGATCAAGGTGCTAGCTGATTAATCTCCTAGGTTCAATAACACACCAAAACGTCCAATAACTCCCAAAACACGAGGTATACCATTCCATCCGCCAAAAATCTGAACGCCTAGCAAGACGTGTTCCTCCTGTGAGAAAGCATGGTCTGGCGCTGCCGTGGTCCCAGCTTGAGCTGTTGCACAAGACGATACGACTTGTACTTTTTGGCCGTAACCATGACCACCTCCCTATCAGCATCACACGCCACCATGTCAAGCTCTGAAAATCGAGGGGCATTGAGCTCCTAGTACTCAGCGACCGCCGCGGTATCACGAATATTGACGTCCTTGAGATTTTTGGTCTTGTGACGTGGACTCCTCGCGAGCCTACTGTGGCGATGTCGAAATTCGCGGACAGCAGTGTGAAGATCAATGGTGAAGAAGAGTATCAGCCGAAACATGCACGAAAACAGGAACCCGACGGCCAAAGCAAAGGCGCGAACGATAGGCCAGTAGGTGCGCTGTATAAGACGTAGGGAAGCCTCCAGCACTGAGGGAATCAAGACGTTCGTCAACGAGAGGTAGGCCCAAACCGAGACGATCCAGTTGAGGAGGAGAACGATGATCGCCCTTTGTTCTGTTTAGCACGACAAAGCTGATAGTCTTGTAGTATGGCTAGACTTACAAGATAGACATGATCATGTTTATGTTGACTGAAATGACTCAAGGATTTGACAAAAGGGTTTTGAGTATTCGTTTGCACAAAGCAGGAACGATAGATGTGAAGGTTGCGAGGAGAACGGAACAGATCTGGGCAGCAGTGCGAAGCAAAGTCTGATAGCAGTATGACAGATCGTAAACAGCAGCAGGGTGTGTTGACGAAATGTGATTGACAGAACTGATGCTGGCGTCTAGGGTTTTATAAAGTGTTGACGATAGAAGCTTTTTGTCAGTGAAGCTAAATAGACGCGATATTCACCCGCCGGGTGGATATGGAACGCGTCTCGACATCGGTGAATTCCAGCTTGTTATCACGACGTGAATGCCACATTATAAATATCCTGGTCTAGGAAACACCTTTCGTCCCGGGAAAACTCACACCTCGTAGTAGTTGTTCATCCGTAGCATAGTTCAAGCAAGAGCACATCAAAAGGCAAACCTGCTGCCCCTGAGAAGTCCCCTTAGTGGCAACGTTCGGCATGTTACTCAAAATACTATTACAATCCAGACATTGCATCGTCGATGTGACGCGGCAGCGCCCACGTCCCCTTCAATCAGACACCTTCGGCACAAGGACCTCTCTCACGGCCTCCTTCGCAACAGCCGGTTCCCTTGGCGCCGAAAGCCTCCTGACACACGCAACACTGACCGGTCCAAGCCCCGTCTTCTCCCTCTCGGCATTGAGCATCCGCCCCAGCGAAGCACACCACGCACGCTTCCGGTCGTTATCCCAATCCAACGTTGACAGCTCAACCTCCAAAGCCCGCAGGCCCCGCAGCCGCCGTAGCCCCTCTTCGATCCACGCCGGCCTCGGCTCCGGGTCGCGAAAGACGTCGGCAATCTGCAGCTCCGCGCTCTCGTCGTTCCGCCGCGTCGACACGACGGCAGGCTCGACGGGCCCGCCGCCGACTAGGATCTTGAGCCGCAAGCCGCGCAGGCCGTCGGCCCAACCGTCGCACAGGGCCGTCCACTCCCTGAGGCCGGCGCCGGAGAAGTCGCGGCCCAGCACCTCGAGGCGGACCTGCCGCATGGCGCCGCGCTGCCAGGGCTGGAGGGGCCGGGCAAAGGCGCGGGCTGCCCAGAGGCCGGAGGAGAACCAGTTGACGAAGACAAACTCGTTCTCCTGGAACGGCACGAGGTGCGTCTCGGCGTAGATCTGCCGGCTGCAGCGCAGCAGGCCGTCGGCATGCTGCAGACGAGGCGGTGCGGGGAGAGCAGCTTCCTCCCTTCAAGTTCTGTCCTGCCTGGGAACATCGTTTTGCCTGACCGATTTCGGATCGGAAGGACTTCCTGGGGGTAAGTCGTGTAGCTGGGCATCGGATAACAAGGTGCCAGTTGAGCGTAGAGTAGTGGGTGCATGAGGCAGGTCCATTGGAAGATCTGAAGTCTGATTTCGAGGGGCAGATACATCAGGCGGAACGCGGGAGGCTCACGCCCTAGGCAGGCTTTCGGAGCCGGAGGCGTATCGATCAATGACCTTGGGTCAATGTTGAAGCACAAAGAAGACAGGTCCACCCGGCCCGCGGCATTGTGTCCCAAACGGGATCGTCTTCGTTGTGACTACAGGCACCTCAACTGTGGTTGTAAAAGTCATGCTGGTCGAGGTATTTGCACCAATTCTTTACCTGACCAAGAGTCAATCAGAGCTGTAAGAGGGTCTCCCAAGGCGATCAAGTGTTGAATGTGTTCTCTGACGACGACAGAGTGACGGCAATACTGTCAGGAACAGGGCAGATTAAGACGCAACAAGACAGTAGAGTTCCTGAAGAAGATAGAAAGTAAACAAACTCCGAAGAATGGCAAGGGCAAGGACAAAGCCTGATATTGGACATACAAGAATATCCCATGATCTCACAGCGCCTTACCTCTCTACAACATCGTGCTGACGCGCTGCGGCTGACAGCATCTGACCGGCGTCTCACGCCGACGGACAAATGAGTCCAATTGGATACATGAATATCACCCCAATCTGCTTCAAAGGACTTTGGGGAGTTTTGTCCAAAAAGAGTAGTCGGCCCAAGCTAAGGGGCCCAGCGTAAGCTGACAGCTTGGCTGAAGAGGGGCGGCGAATATGCATCTTCGGTTGGCTGGCCGGGTGCGAGCTGCCCTTTTGGCGTTTTACCAGCCTGCGCCATTGGCCCAGCTGGTCGGGTTTTGACTTTAGGGCTAGGAGATGCTGTGCAAGACGGAGGGTATTGGGACTTCCGTTGCACGACGGTTGAGATACCTTGAGGTGACACGCGTCCTGTTGAATGAATCTATTAAGCAGGATCCTTATCGACAGGACTCTGACGAAGACTTGGTATGAATATGAACCAGTTCCCAGAAGATCGATCAATGATGCATCTTCTGACATGCTCGATACTTGGCTATGTTGTAGTTGAGTCTGGACGGCCGGGTGACCAGCCTAGCCAGCTGGCTGGAAGGGAGTGGGGAAGTTGATAAGCTGAGGTGAACCAAACTGTAAAGCACTGGCCTTGAAGCCCCAGACCTTTCCTGGCGACAAACCTGCGTGTTGAAGTACCTAGGCAGATAAGAAGGACGATCTTGCATTCCTGGGCTGGGATTCTGTCCAGATGCAGGGGCTTTTACTTCAGTGCTTTGACGAAATCGCATTGATGTGTAGACTCGGTGCTTGTGCATTGTCGTGATGACTGCCCGGAGTACGATCAAAGTCTGCCGGTCAAGAATCATGGCGATTCTTTGGAAACAATGTTGAACTTAGATCATGCACCAGGGCACCCGTCCTAAACGCTAGCTTACGCTCGACCGGAACGCTACTCGATTGACGCAGTAGCTGGGTATCATATCTCCCCCCCAAGCATCGCAGCTCACAGAGCACAAGCCTCGCGCCTAACTTATCCTCGGCGGCCCCCCGGCTACGGCCAACCTCGCTCTCTTGGCAGCATTCCTTTCAAACTCGACGTTGCGCGGGAGGTCAAAGTTCTTCCCTGGGCGAGAGACCAGGAAGGACACTCAGGTTTCTGGGCCCGGGCACCTTGTCCGGGTGCGGGGGCCCCGGCTGCGGCCCGTCGGCCATAACGACGTCCTCGTCCTCGTTTTCGTGCAGTCGTCGCCGTCCTCGTCGTCGCTCTCATCGGGCTCCTCCAACGGCCTCTTGAGACCGCTGCGCACGTTCTCGATGCCGTCCTCGCGCTCCTCGCGCGTGTAGACGTCGCCCGCCTCCTCAATAACGTACCGCGCCACGCGTTCCTGTGTCCAGGCTCGCAGCTCTTTCCACACCTCCTCGAGCCGCGTGATGCCGTCCTTGCCGTCCGCCGCCACAGCGGCGCGCACATCCCGCGCTGTTTCAAGGCCGCGCTCGACGCGCTCCTCCACGTCCGGCTCGCGCTTTTTGCGGAGGAGGGTCAGTAGGATATTCTCCTGTGTCCGGCCGGGAAAATTGACAGCCGGGTGGACCGAGGTGTGGGCGAAGGGGACAGCATTCTCGTTCACAATGTCGAGAAGGGACTGGAGGTTTCGGAGCAAAATCTGGTATTGGGCCTGTAGCGAGGATCTAGAGCCTGTCAGCATCGGTGTGGGCGGCGCCGGGGAAGAAAGCGTGCTGCTGAGAAAAGAGATCCGTACTGCGGGGGAAGGGGGTTGCTCTTGGCGACGTCGGCCTTGAAGCTTTGTATGCTGTTGGTGAGTTGGTAGAGGCGCTGACGGGTCTGTTCAAGGGCTTTCGTCTCGTCGTCGGACAGGCCAAGGGCATTGGTCTGCTGACGGTAGGCCATGGTGGGGGTTTATGCCACGGCGAGCTGCCGGCGGCAGAGCGAGGTGATGCGGTGGTAAACAGAACCGCTCAATGGATCGGTGGCAAGTTTCAATCTGGTGGCGTGCTCGGGAATTGATGCCTACTGGACGAAGCAGTCGGGAGAGTATTCTCGGGCGAAATGGTGGCTGTGGTCTTGTGTTCGTGCTAGAAGGAGCTTTGTGGTGGAGATGCTTGCTTGAGGCTCTGAGGTTGCTGGCAGGCGCATCTGAGCTCCAGTGTCCAGCGTTGCTTCCATCAGCGCACGGCTGACTCTGGTACATGCCTAAGGTACGACCCGAGTGAGGTGGGTCTGGGACCGGCAACAGCCCCGCAGCTTGCGCTACCACAGTGCCCTGAAGGGACGACCAAGTCGTGGACCCCCACTGCCCCTCAGAAGCGGCAGGGGAAGGGGTGGGCGGCCATCAAGTATCACTGGTGAGATCAAACGCCCTGCCCGGCTATGAAGCTGCAACAGGTAACGCTATGATGTACGGATTCCCCATGATCCCCTCAAAAAGTGCGGCTCTGCCCCCGTCGCCAACGTCGTCCCAAAGCCCTGGGGGCCAGTAGCTGGGCTTCTCGTTTTGACATTCTTGTACTGAGTGTATTCAATACATGACTGAAGCTTGTCAACCCCGCCTCTTCATGCCGCCGAAATAGGAACCCCTGCCAACACGTCATATATGGCCAGCGTCGCAACATCACGACTTGCCACATTCAAAGAGTCACATCCGAGTTACTTAGTGCCATGGCAATTAATTGCTAGCAGTGTCGTTCAATTTTCATCCGCTCAACTCCGAAACTATGAGAACATGCAGCACCTCCCGATCCCTAAGAGATCATAAAATATCTCCAAAATGAGCAACAGACCAGGCCGAATTCATGTTTCAGCGGCCTAAGCAAGGAGCATTTTTGACCACCAAGTATCAATACCCTCCTCGCTAGTTTAAAATGCAGCAATGGACGTATTCCAAAAGTCGTGTAATCGTGAAAGCGGAAAAGCCCAGGTAACCAAGACAACAGAAAGCAACAAAGAACGGAGAGTTTTCCGATTACTGTTCATGCGAACCGGCCCTGGTTCGATAACGACCCCTGCCCAGACGCGGTAGTCACCTGCCGCCAATCTCCTTTGCCCGTACGTGTCCACAGGTGGATTAGGCGCCGCCGGCGCTCGAGCTCGTCCAGGGGAATCTGGGACCGGATGTACTTGAGCCTGCCGTCGTCGTTGGGGTTGTGATCCCAGCTGGTGAAGGTGCCCTTGAGAAGTGCAGACACACGAGGCGGCGCTTGCGTTGCGAGAGCACGACCTGCTTGGTGATGGCATCAAAGTCCCAGCGCGCCGCCGCCTCGGCGTCAAAGGCCTCGAGAACCTCGAGGGCTTCCTTCTCGTGCTCGCTCTGGGCGCCCTTCTTTGTGAGCTTGGCAAGATCGCGGAGCTCGAGAGGGTCGTGCTTGAGGTTGAAGAGCTGCACGCCATCTGTTGGGCAGGTGATGTACTTCCAGTCGCCGCGGCGGATCATCATGAGCGGGCTAATGGTACCCTCACCCGTGTATTCGGCGAAAACGGTATCGTGGCCCTCCTTGCCCTCAAGGTGAGGGAAGAGCGAGATTCCGTCCATTGGAAGGTCCTTGTACGGCTTGACACCAACAAAGTCGCACATGGTGGGCAGGATGTCCAGGGTCGACACGTTCTGAGAAACGCGGTGGGGCTGGAACTGGTGGGGGTGGTGGATGAACAGCGGTACGCGCACAGACGACTCAAAGTAGCTCATCTTGTACCAAAGGTTGCGCTCGCCCAGCATGTCACCATGGTCACCGCTGAAGACAACAATGGTGTTGTCGTCGAGGCGGCACTGCTTGAGCACCTTCAGGAGGCGACCGACGCAGTCGTCGACATAGCTGACTGCGCCAAAGTATGCACGCTTTGCGCGCTTGATCTGGTCATCGGTGAAGTCCTGGTCCCAAAGATCGCAGACCTTCAGGAGGCGCTTGCTGTGAGCATCCTGCTCCTCGTTGGGAATGCGGACTTTGGGCAGTGCAATGTCGACGCCCTCGTACATGTCCCAGTACTTTTCCTCAATAGTGTACGGGTCATGAGGGTGGGTCAGAGAGACCTGCATTATGTGAGTGAAATGAGCCATGTGATCCAGCGCGTAAAAATCCACTTACAGTGAGCGAGAAGGGGCGGGCATCAGGACCCTGACGAGTGTGCTCGTAGAGGAATTGAGTCGATTTGTACATGACCTCTTCGTCATAGTCCAGCTGGTTGCTGCGAATGCACGTGCCTGCCTGGAGAATCGAGCTCGCGTTGTGGTACCATTCCAGGCGCGTGTCGGGCTCGTCCCAGTTGACAGCCCAGCCAAAATCACCAGGGTAGATGTCACTCGTCAGACGAGTCTCATAGCCGTGAAGCTGGTCTCCGATAAAATGCATCTTGCCGGCGAGAGCCGTGTGATAGCCCTGGAGACGGAGGTAGTGGGCATATGTGGGAATGTCACTGGAGATCTGGCTGGCATTGTCGTAGGCGCCGATGCCCATGGGCAAGAGACCAGTGATCATGCTCATGCGCGAAGGAGCGCAGAGAGGTGACGGGCAGTACGCAGAGTCAAACTGGACAGACTTGGCAGCAAGGCCATCAAGGTTGGGCGTCTTGATCTGAGACTCTGGGTTGTACATCTTCAGTTGGGGGGCGGCCAACTGATCAGCCATGATGTAGAGAATGTTGGGCCTCTTCGCCGAGCTGCCAGGGCCACCAAGACCGCCAGGGCCACCACCGACGGGCCTCTCTGGCCTTGTGGCCGACGCCATGGGCGAGGACGGGAGGGAGTTGAGATCGGGAGCCATCTTGATTGGAAAGAGCACCCGACTTCAACGAGGGGGTAGATTATCGTTGAAGGACAGGAACGAAGTGAGGACAGCTGAGCCGGTACGCTCAGGTGGGTGAGACGTGTGCTGGTGTAGATATGATGTTTGTGTGCTCGCGTGCGAGTGAGTGCGATAGGGTTGAAATTAAATGGCAAGGCAAGACTTTTTGAGGGTGTCAAAGTATTGCCGTGGTTGGATGCGGTCTAAGGCAAGGCAGGGGTGAGGGAGATGTGTGTGGCTGATCCAGGGTCCGAGTTAAGATTTCAGAGGGAGATTAGAAGTACGAGAGACACACGACTGGGCAGTCTCCGTCGAGGTAGTCTGGAGGATCAGGCGTTGGGGTATAGATGTGAGAGAGGGAAAGAGTATAACGGTCAACGGAGCGGGAAGGCAGGGAGCAGACTACTCTTTTAAAACCAGCACATCAGAGGGGAACAGAAAGTGGACGGATGGGAAGGGGAGGGGGCCAGGCAGGGTGACTGGCGGCATCAAGCATAATGGGAGGGGAGCATGTGGGCGAGGCAGAGGAGAATGGAGGATATGCAACGACAACGGGGGAGTTAAAGGGTGCAAGCGGGCATCGTCGGACGTTCCCGAGCTAGATGACCATCCCTCCATTTCCAGACATCTGCGTTGACAAATGCAGAGAGAGGGGAGGAGGAGGGCGACCAAGTCCTTTGATTGCTGGCAGAATGGCGGAGGCTCGGGCTGGGCACTTGCAACTGTCGAGGTGTCCATGGCGCAACTGTATGCACGGTTGACCTTGCTGTCTCTCCGGGTCTTGGGACCCTCCATCCATCCCTGGATACCGTTTAGCAACAAGAACGCAGCAGTAGTCACATGGGGCTGGTCGGTCCGAGGGGCGTGGCACACTGGGATGGCGTTCTCGCTGGATCCAATGGCGACATTGGGCTGGTTATGCTACTATCCACGAGAAGAAGCACCCAGCGGCTGTCTGGACGTAAAGTTGCCCGGACGTGCGTTGCCCCTGCAAGGGTCCTCCGACGAGTCGGAAAAGCCAAGTCACTGAACAGGACACTGGGAGCCCCCCTGTAGCGTCGCATTGGCGATCCACTGATACCAGTCGCCTTCCGCCCTGGGCAGTCGAGTCCCGAGGTTTGATGGCTTCCCCTCGCCACACGAACTGCCTTCGAAATGCCTTCTTCGTCTATTCGCCTACCGAGCTGGGACGATCGCAGGGGCGGTGTGCATCCACGAGAGCCCACGTCTCTGGCCACGACTCGACAAAACAGGCCCAACCCCAGGCGCCTGATATGCACCAAACCAGCGGCACACGTCTGCGAGACCTCGCCTGGTTGCACCTGCCTTAGCGGCCTCTCTAATCCTCGACGCGTGCATAAGGGTCTCGTGTCTTTCCGCCACTTGCATATGCGGGCACACCCTGCCTTCCTTTGTATTTTGGGGAGGAAACAACCACAGCTGGGCTGGAAGGGGGCTCTTTCTTCGTTGAGTGACGGGAGGCCAAGGTCAGGTATGAAGGGGCGCGATGACCCACTACCCGCCACGATCCATCTTTACGGCCTCAACATGATATGATGTAGACTGGAAATCTTATTCATCTACACGTCGGTGCACAAAACAATCAACTGCCAGTTGATGAGGCCCCATGACATTTCATCTTGTAACAACAGACACTGGTTAGGCATTCCAAATTAGGCATTCCAACATGTCAGAATCGAAGCATTCCCATCCCAACAATCACCCCCCCTCCCAGGATCATCGCAGATCGAGGCGCCCGTCGACGATGAAAAACCCCCGACAGAGGCATACGATCGTCTGACCGCCCGGGCAACTCATCCCGTCCCAAGATGTCGTGATCACCCCTGAGCTCCCGGCTCCGATTAGCCTCAAACCAACGAAACGCCTCCCCGCACATCGACCTCGACCGGTTGTGGGGATGGCGCCGGTCACGCAATCGACCGTCTCGCGCTTATTCCACTCCGCCCAAACCTCCCCCGTACACAGCAGGCCCCTCCCGCCTGCCGTGCTGCTGAGTCTGACACTGCCTTATCCACACCGACGCCGACAAGGTGAGGAATGTGGTCGTCATACTCTGACTAGACTCGCGATCACATCATCGGCGTCTTGAATGGCTTCATCCCGATCCTCCCGGAGTCTCACCCTGTTGTGGCCAGATCATATATAGCCTGAGCTGGCTTCGGCTTGCGACGACCTCGGAGGCCGAAACTTTCCACACAAGATACGCAGTCTGAACCCAATGCGCCCGCGAGCATCAGAAGCAAGCGGGCAAGCGAATACGCAGGCATGGATCGACGATGGCCACCATGATCATGCTCGGTGGGAGGAGCATGCCAACTTGCCTCCTACACACCCAAACACCCCATCCATCGCCATCATTCGGTCTCGGCTGGGCGAAGCTTGGGCCGGCGCACCTTATACTGTTATGCGAGTTCAATTCACCGCCAGCATCTATGCAGAGTGCAACACGCGGCGATGCCTAGTTGTATATCCTCGACTTGCTGCATGTCTATCCACGTGTCATGTCACCAAGGCGCAGCCCACCTTTGAGTCATTGCGTGGTCACCAGCACACTTTCTGTTGATGCACTAGCCTGCATTGCGGCCGCAGACTGGTCGATAAGAGAACACACTACGGCAAGACGCCTAGGTCTCAACACGCTGTACGCCAGCCGTCGCAGTTGTGTATTTGATGTCGCCTGCTGCCCAACCCGGAGTCTATGTTACGTACATCTAAATGCAAGTTGTGGAACCCCGCAACAACCCCATGATATCCCCGGATTTCCGATCGTGGGCCGCAAGCAGGGTGGACGCACACACACGTGTGTGATAAAAGATGGAGAACCACTGTTGTTGCCAGCTCTCTCACGCGCCAGCGCGGTAGCCCCTCACGCGGCTGAAGAAGAAGGCTTTGTCGTTTTTCAGCCCGAATTCAGCCCAGTCATCTGTGAGCTTGTTGTGGCTGTAGAAACCCCTCCACACCACCTTGGTGTTGCGTGCGCCCTTGCCCGCGCTGCGAACCGACAGGTCCATGCGATACGTGTATTTATCGATCACACCCTCCGTCTCAATGACCAGGCCGGCCTCTGCGTCCTTTGCTGAAACCGGAGGCTCGGCCTCGGCCTCGTCGTCTGCCGATGTCAGCCGCCATCGACCTCGCAGTCCATCCACCATGACGATGGAGGGAAGATGCGCTACCGCGCCGCCCTGATGCAAGGCCAGCGCCTCCTTCGTCAGGTGGTGCACGACGTCGCCGGGTTCTGATGTCGTGAGAAGGCTGATGACGGTGCCGTCGCGGAAGAAGCGCAGATAGCGGTAGTACGTGATAATGTGTACGGGACTGCCCCACGTAACGGCGTTTGCCGACGCCTGACCCGCGCGGATGTAGTTGACCGTGCTGATATAGCACCCGTTGAAGCGCACACGCGGACGGTGCCGGAACATGTGCTGCCACGAAGAGGCGTAGGCCGGGAAGAGAGCCATCGTAGCCGCAAGCTTATCGGCCTCGCGGCGGCGTGCGAGCGCCGCTGCCGTGGTGACGGTGCCGTCGTCGTTAATCTCGTCATCCTCGTCCAGGGGCTCCCACTGGATGCCGGTCTGCCAGTCGTAGTGCATGCCTGCGAAACCCGTCTCGCGGCCAAGGCAGACGCGGCGCCAGATCTGGTTCTCACTGGCGACCATGTAGGCGAAGCGCTTGCAGACCCGTGAGAGACGTGCAAAGTCGCCGACGTCGTCGATGGCCACGTCGGTGAGGATGTGGCTGAGAATTTCCTGCGGCACATCCGCAATGGGGCAAGGTGGTGCCTGGTCGCCTTCGACCGATGGCCCTGCGGGCTCGATCGATAGGCCGGAGAAGCTCGCGACGAGATCCTTGAAAGTCTGCGGTTGGCTTTCAGTCTTGGCGTTGTGTGCAGGGGCGGCAGCGCCGACGTCTGTTGGCTTGATCGATGGGGTTGCTGCCTTGACAGCGGATGCTGGAAAGTGCTTCTTTCTATATTGCAAGTCGACACGGTCATCCATCTAGGCGCCAAGTCAGTTGTACTGGTCCTTGTCGATCGGTCAGGCCGCACCTACACGGAATGCCTTCCGGTAAAGCTTGAGGCTTTCGCCGAGGTTGCCAACGGCTTCCTTTTTCGCAGCCTCTTCGAAATGGTCAAGGGCCGATATGGGTCCCGGCTTCTCCAAGGCATCGAATTTCACCATCTCATCTGGCAAAAGTGAAGGCCCGTCAGGGCCATCAAAAACAGGCGGCCTGACGTAGTCGTGCTCTTCATCTTGCTGTGACTTGTGGCGTACATGCGAGGGTGAAGCTGACGATGAGGGGTCTGACCGATGAGATGGTTTGGGGACGGATGCGGTAGCCTTGGCCTTGCGTAGATCTTGTGGCTGACTTGATGACTCTGGTTTCTTCGACTGCAGTTCGGACTTCCACTGACGTCGAAAGTATTCGAGCTCAGAGTCAAGCTCAGGCTTGGCATCGCCTTCCATCGTAGTGGAAGAGAGACGGCGGATTAGTAATGTACTTCTATGAGAGTGCCATCAGGGTTCTTTTTCTGATCCGATGAGGTGAAATGACCCAAGTTTAATGGAACAAGGCTCTATAAAATTCTTGGTGTGTGAAACGAGGAATGCGAGAGATAATCTCAAGTCGAAAAGCGGTAGAGTTGTCGGACCTGGTGTCTGAGTTGTGGTGACGAATAGAGGGGACGGATGAGGTGCGTCTGTGCCGTTGCATCACCGATCGAGTCAACGGCGTGACTGACAGTTGGCTTCGGTGAACTACAAGGGCCAAGGGTTCTCAGATGGACTCATTTGCGTTCCCGGGCCGGGAATTGGAAGGCGTGGGCTCTTATCGTCCCGACGACAGTGCTTATCATTGATCCACCAACGTTTCCACCCAATTGGAACGAACCGGACGTCGTGACATCACTCCAGCGTCTAAGCTCGGCCCAAGAGATCGGCCTGGACCTTTCAATCCGCCGATGTGGCCCGCTCCATCTCATATCGCCGGCTCAAAAATTTAGGGGGGGGGAAACCCCTAGAGCGACGTCGCAGCAAGTTGAGTTGAGTCAATGACGCGCCACCCTACTCTCCTCAACACAACACCTAGATCAATTCAGCGACATCATCGCCATTCAACGGCAGCTTACCTCATCGGTGAATATCCTACAACTTCATCTGATACTCCTTTTCTGCGGCTCGCCTTTTGCGCCTTCAGCAAAACTCCCCACAGCATTCACTCGACCGACGACTACACCACGCCCTTGCCCTGATTGCGCGCATCCATTTTGCCATCGCCACCCGAACATGCGAGGCTCTTGGCCATGAGTCCAACTCTGCAGGCCACAGATGGCCAACATTTTACCGAGAGGATGGGCCACGATGGCTCAGTGGCCATGGCCGAGGTGATCTCCGACAAGGGCGACAAGGGCGCAGCGAGAGGCGACGATGATATCACGGCGACCCAGAAGATGCTGTCGGCAATGTCCGGCAGTCTCCTGACATCTCTGCTCGGTATGTGAACATCCTCTTACCACTTTCCATGTCGTGCATCATCTGACGGAATGCAGTCACCCCTCTCGACGTTGTCCGAGTCCGATGGCAGTCGCAGCCAGTGTCGGCGCGCGCACCGATCGATTTCTCCAAACTCGCCCTGACGACTACCCACCTAAACCCCATACCATCCGCCAACCTCGGTGTTGCCGCGTGCTGCCGAGAAGTCTTCTTCATGAACAACAACGCCGAGTTCTGCCTCGCCATGCCGCAGAAGCCCGCTGCCGGCGGCGCCGTGCTCACAGCCGCCGAATGCGCTGCCGAGGAGGCAGAACGGAAAACTTTCAGTTCGACCCTCGACGGCATGCGCAAGATTGCGCGCCACGAGGGAATCACCAGCCTCTGGAGAGGCCTCTCGCCGACGTTGGTCATGGCTGTCCCAGCTAACATCATCTACTTCACCGGCTACGACTGGCTGCGCTTCAACCCCAAGAGCCCTCTCGCGCAGCGTCTCGGAGACGACTCGGCGCCTCTCGTTGCCGGTTCTGCCGCCAGAGCACTGGCCGGTACGGCCGTCGGACCGATCGAGCTCTTTCGCACGCGACTGCAGGCATCCGCTGGCTCGTCGACAACGAGCCACCTCACCAACACGTTCAAGTCGGTGCAGGAGATGGTGCAGGTCAGCGGCTACCGCTCGCTGTGGAGAGGCCTCAGTCTGACCCTCTGGCGCGACATGCCCTTCTCTGGACTTTACTGGTGGGGCTACGAGACGATTCGTGGCCGTCTCACAGACATGCGCGAGACGAAGCGAGGGCGGTCTCTCGAGGCCAGGGGCAGCCGAACACGCACGCGGCGTCGCTCGCAGAGCCGTGAGAACCACACGGACACTTTTGTCGACAGTTTTATCGCCGGTGCCGTCTCAGGCGCTGCGGCCTCGATCGTGACGATGCCCTTTGATGTGGGCAAGACGCGCACGCAGGTCTATCGCGACGGCAGTTCGGCCGCTAAGAATGTTGCCTCCAAGGCGGCCGTCCCGGAGGAGGGCAGCATGACGCGGCTCCTTTGGCATATTTTCAAGACGGAGGGCGTGCCGGGCCTGTTTAGGGGCTGGATACCGCGGACGCTGAAGATTGCACCAGCGTGTGCCATCATGATCAGCAGCTACGAGATTGGCAAAAAGGTCTTTAGGGGTGCGAATGCAGCATCGCGAGACGAGCTCGAAGGAAAGTAGCCAAATGGAGAAAAGGAAAACACGTTCTAAGCGAGGAGAGGGAAAGCGGACGGGCGAGCGTGGGCGCTTTGATGCATTGTATGGCGTTGGGGAGGGATTCTCTCACTTGTGATTAGGGGGAGGGCTCGGGCGTGACGCCTGACCTGGTATACCTGCTAGACAAAATAATACTTGTACGAACAACACATGACTACTTGTTTTTTGAAGACCATCTTATCTGCGCATCATGAATATGTTGGTTGAATGGTAGTGGTGGATCCAGAAGGCGTTGGGATCAACCGAGGGCGAAGTGGCAGGCTGCACTGCACCACTTAACGGCCAGACGCGTCGACGCGATCCATGACGTTCACTAAGGGGCCCTAGCGTCGTGCAGACGCGCCTCGACTTCAGACACGGAACCTCGATCGAATCGAATGACAAGGTTCAAGCTGACAGATGAATTCAGCCTCCCATTTCCACACTGTTTGGCAATCCGCCCACTGCACCTCTGCTGCCTGGCTTGCTCTCACTCGTCACGAACACCAACTTTGTCTACCAACTGCTGGAATTCGAATCAATTGGTTCCACGTGCATGCTCGCCGTCTTCAAAATTGAACATCTACGCCCCTGTACGGGCTCCTCTTTTCTCCTCCACCTCCGTCCCCACGTTCGCCCACAACGTCGGGTTCGAATTCCTCGTTTGCGTCCCAGACGATCATCCAACCCTCACAACATCTTGTCCCAAGTTCGTTTCCTCACGATGACGAGCACACTCAAGCGCAAGGCCGGCGACACGCCTGCCGCTTCAGACGCCAAGAAGCCAAAGCAGAACGGCAGCATCACCTCCTTTTTCGGCGCCCCTAAACCCGTCCCCGGCGCCGCCAAAGCCGCGGCCGCTCCCGAGGTGCCGGCGGCAAAGTTCGACAAGGCGAAATGGGTCGCCGGCCTGACGCCCGAGCAGAAGGACCTGCTGAAGCTCGAGATTGAGACGCTGCACGAGAGCTGGCTGGCTTTGCTCAAGGACGAGGTGACGAGCAAGGAGTTTCTCGACCTCAAGCGCTTCCTCAACCGCGAGACGGAGATGGGACGCAAGTGGTTCCCGCCCAAGGAAGACGTCTACTCATGGTTCGTCACGCTCACCTTCCTCCACCTTTCCTGTCTATCCATCCACAGGTCGAGACACGGTCAAGCTAATGGAGTGGGAACACAAAATATAGGTCCCGCCACTGCCCGTTCAACCAGGGTCAAGGTCGTCATCCTCGGGCCAGGACCCTTACCACAACGTCAACCAGGCCCACGGGCCTCGCCTTTCTCCGTCCGCGCCCCGACGCCGGGCGCCCCCCGTCCCTCAAGAACATTGTACATTTGCCCCTGAAAGCGCGGACTACCCCGACCTTCACCGCCGCCGGCCCAACAAAGGCGGGGCCTGCTGACGGCCGTGGGGCGGACCGCGGCGGGGCTGCTGCT